TTTTTTTTTTTCTTTTGGGCGAGAAAGGACAAAGTAGTGCACATCTCGGCTTGGCGGATCTTGCAGACCTTCCATCTCATACTCGTAGCGTCCAAAACACCAATCTCTCAGTCTAAGTTCCCTGTATAGGTTATCAAATCCGATATCAAATCTAGGAAATGAAATATCACTATGCATTTCTTTACCAGACATTAATATACTAAAACAGCCACATCACTTGAATTTTTAATATGCTCAAAAAAAAAAAAAAACAGCCACTCACTACTAATCATGAACTGAGTCAGGCTCAGAGGTTCTTCATGTACGGTGAAACTTCAATATTCGTGAAAGGCACGTCTATTTTGAAGATGGAAGTAACCAGTTGAGCCTCTTGAGTAAACACGTAAGGCAGTTCCAGACATTGCTTGTGTAAATGGTTTTACTTTGAAGAAAAACAATGAAAATGGACAGCAGAACAACTAAAGTGTTTTATTGAAGGTTGAAATATGTATAAGTCTGGTATAACAGACAAAAGCAAAAAGTGGCAGACGTGACAAAACAGCCTTCCCTTAACTTTTGCTACCTTGTCTTGACCAAGTGCTTACTTTTCACTAACCACGCTTAAAGACAAACTAAAATTAAAATGCAAGAAAAAACCTTAGAATAAACTGAACCAATTCAGTTTTATGAAGTTTAGTTACCGCCATCTTCATTTCTTCAAAATATCAGTAAAGTATGTGCAAACTTGATGTTACAGCTTCAACAGCATAGAATGGACTTAACTTTGTGCTAGACATTATACAGTCTTTCTTTTAGTAACAGCAATGCTATAATTACAATACCAAGTAAAATTATAAGTTTATAATTATAATATGTCATTAAATAAGTGTAATATATCATTAAATAAATAAATACATATAATATTATGAATAAACTCTACATATAATATTATGAATAAACTCCTAAGTAAAAAAAGTTAATTACATAATGATACATCACGTTAAAAACTTATAATATCATATAGTATTGTAATTAACTATATCATTTTTATTTTAGTACTTTAGGTGGAATCAATTTTCTGTATAGTCTTATCTTGAAAAATATATACACTCGGAGTTCTTATAGTTGTTTAGGATCTA